CCCCCTCACTGAGGGGGCCTTGATCTGACCCCCCTCCCCCCCATCACAACTCACTCCGCTTTCCAAGCAAGGAGCATAGTCCAGCAGCTGTCTATGTGCTGTGCTGTGGCTGCGCGTATGTACAGCGCATTTATCAGCCACATTATCGGTCGCATTGGCCAAAAAAAGCTGATTGCCAGTACAGTTGATTTTCCTTATATCAATGCCAGTCCGATATGGGACCGATGTATCAGTGCACCTCTACTCGTCACAGCAAATCCTGATATTTGCAGCTGCTCACCTCTAATGACTCTGGCAGTAGGAGCTGACTTTTTCTTTATTATGGTACAGGAAATTGATTAACTCTGTTATAGCAAAAACTTTTAATGGACTCTTTGGTGTACTAGAGGCTTATTTACAGTGAGTTTCTACCATGTGTTTATATATCATGCCTTGAGAATTAACCCAACCTCTCTCTCTGAGCATTTGGGGTACTGACCCCTGGCACTGGCCACTGTTAGAATCATAGACTGAATGGACCACAGGGTCCAATCTGGTATAGCAGGGGTTATCAACCAGGGGTACTTTGAAAGGTCCCAGGGAATATGCGGGGGTGGGTGTGGATGGAGCGCCACCACCCTGCATCGCTGCCTCATGAGAGCAGGACTGCACAGATGCCACACTACTGCCATCATGCCATTTGCCACCCCTCTGCTCTGCTCTGTCTGGCTGCTGCCCCCTTGCTCCCCCCCACCAGCTCTGTCTGGCCGCTTGCCACCCCCTCCCCAGCTCTGCATCTGGCCATTCACCACACCTGCTTCTGCTGCATGTGTGGGCCCCCCCAAAATACTTATTAAGGAGGCTGCTGGAGGTGCACTTATTGAAAAAGTTTGAAAACCCCTGTTTTTTTAGGATGTCTTAAACTCTCTAAATCATATTCACAAAATATATTTGTGCTTGAAAACAACAATTGGTCATTAGTTTTACAGTCAGGTTCTGACCTTTGTCAGTGCATACACTTAGGATAATCTGTTTGTAATTTTACATTGTTGTTTATTTTACAGTTGGTCTTTTAGTAGCAGGTATAGGGAGTATAGTCAAATGCAAGCTATGAAAAATATTCTCAAGGGAAATTTTGCTTGTAAAAGACGGTTGCTATTATCAAGTGTTGCTGCAGACCAGTGTTGACTGTATTTATAGTGTTGTGGCACTGAGTCCAGATGTATAGCACCTGGCACAGCGGGACCCAAATGCACAAATGCAAAACAAAAGACTGTTCTGGCTACAAAAATTCATGACCTAAGTAACAAAGAAAAAACATGCCTTGTAGAAAGAATAGTAGATACATTTGTAATCAGAACTCATGATAGAAATGATATCTTTTATTAGACCAACTAGATTTTTGCAGAATTTCTTTAATTGCAAGCTTTTGGGCACAAGCACCTTTCTTCAGCCATAGGTGAAAAGGTTGTACAAGTTCTGGGTAGAAATGAAAGTCTATATTTTATTGGAGAGTTGAAGGTGTGATAAAATCTCCTGTTTGGAACAGTTAATTTTAGATGCAAATTAGGCTCAGAGAAAAGTTGGAACAGTCTGTTTACTTCGAAGTGTTTACTCCTCTGTGAAATATGAAACACCCTAACTAGAAGGAAATATGGCTATATCCTGCTTACAACCAAACAAGTTTGAGGTAAACAGACTTCCAATTTTTCTCTGAGCATAATCTGCGTATAAAATGACGACCTTCCCAGCAGTACCCTCGTAGCTACCATGAATGTCACTAGTTTATACACCAACATCCCACACCAGGATGGCATCCAAGCTTGCCTCTTATATCTACAAGAATGAGATTACAACTCAGATCACAGACCTCAAGATATCACTGAACTCGTATACTTCATCCTCACACACAACTTCAGTTTCAACAACCAACACTTCCTCCAGACCCTGGGCACAGCTATGGGCACTAAAATGCCCCGACAATATGCCAACCTTTTTATGGCCCACCTAGAAGAAGACTTTCTCGAGAACTGCACCATCAAACCCTTACTTATACCTGAGATACATGGATGATATCTTTGTCATTTGGACCGAAACCCTACAGTCTTTGATTGATTTGCACCAAAAATTCAACAATAGTTACCCCTCCATCAGACTATCGCTCGACTACTAACACTAGCACTTGCTTTTTGGACACCATGATCAATATCCAAGGTGGTAAAATTCAAGCTACCGTATATAAGAAACCTATGGACCAACATGCATATCTACATGGAACCAGCAGTCACCCTAAACACACCAAGAAAGCTGTAATTTACAGCCAAGCTCTCTGATACCACCAAATTTGCAGCAAGGACAATACTTGTGATCACCACTTCACAAATCTCAAAGGGCCTTTAGCCAACAAGGGCACTCCTCCAGAGAGAAAGAGATTGCACTTTTGAATGAGCCACCCGGATACCATGTGAAGATTTGCTGCAGTACAAAAAGAAAATCCGCACAAATTGCACGCCATTAGTTATGACACACCACTGTTCCCTGGAACCTACATGGAAAATCCTCAAACAATTGCAACATGTACTAGAAGACCCTATTCTTAAAGAGATCTTTCCAGAACCACCCATCATAGCTTTTAAGCAAGCACTGAACCTCGCTAACCTCATCACCAGAAGCAAACTCCCTATGACCTGAACCACATCCAATGGATGCAGACCATGCCAGGACAAGAAATGCAAAACCTGCCAACACATCTCCACTACCCGTACAATAACTATACCCCACAACAAAACCATCACCATTCCTGGATGTTACACATCACCATTCCTGGATCTTACACCTGCACCTCCAGAAAGTTAATACATCTCATCCAGTGCACCAAATGCCCTGATGGAAAATATGTAGGAGAAACCAACCAACAACTGTGCGCCAAATTTGAATGCACACCGAAAATCTATCAAAGACCAGAATACTGAACTACCTGTGCGGGCACACTTCTCACAGGACAATCATTCCCTCTCTGATATCTCAGTTCTAATCCTCAAAGGGAACTTACAAAACACCTTTCATAGACAAGCCTATGAACTTCACTTCATAAATCTACTGAATACAAAATATCATGGACTCAACGTAGACATTGGATTTATGACACATTACTACCTGCCTGACATCCGATTCACCAGGCACCTATTTGACCCAAGTTCTTATTCTTCTTGTCGCCCTCCCTCCACCCCGCCCTCACATTTTTCTGCCCTTTGTCTTCCTGATTCCAACTATTTTCTTTTCCATTGAGAGCCTCTTTTTTAACTTGTATTATTACCATTGTGGCATTTCCCTTTGGCCTTTTCCCCCGCCTGCTTTCTTCCCCCTCCCTTCCCTGCTTTACCTTTTTGTTTTTCTAATTTCTACCTATTTATATTTTCACTGACATCCCGTCACTCTTTTAGCTTCTCTCATTCCTGTTTTCCTGATCTCCAACTATTTTCTTCTTCACAGATATCCTCTTTTCTACCTTGTTTTCTATCACTGTAATGTCTCCCTTTGGCCTTTTGCCCCCCCTGCTTTCTTCCCC